AATTTTGGTGCATCTATAATTTATTGGCGCCATCAGAAATTATATTATATAATAGATGCTTTTTTTTTAAACATTTTAGCAATTTAAAAATATTAAAAAATGATTTTTTTACACGGCACCCCTGCTCTCGACAGACGCCGCGGCACCCCGGTTGGGAAACACTGCCCTAGAGTAGTATACTTAAAATACTACTATGAACCTTTTAAGGGTAAATAAGATACAAAGTTGTCCGTTTGAGGTTACTGTCCTAATAAAAAAAAGAAGCACCAAAGCAATGTTAATTTATTTATAACGTTTCATTAAGTGAAGCTGACACGAGTGTCAGTTCCAGGTGGCCTAACACAAGAAACATTGTTAACAGATGGGAAGAAATGATCTCAGTCTAGCGGCTTTTACCCAGGTTTAAGTCCAGGATCACAGCCAGCACTCTTGCACATTGATGCATGCAGAAACTCCACAATAATCATGTGTAAACTCAAACATACATGCTTTAATACTGGCTGACTGAGTTTCCTGCCTTATAAGGAGTTGACCAGCATGTTTTTTGTACTTACACAGATGGTTATTGCTCCAGCCCCCATCTCTCTCTCTTCTTCCAGGAAGAACCTGTAGAGTGATGACCTCCTTAACATCCCATAACAAAGTCACCGGGTCATAATGTGTTGTTTAGTCCACCTTTGGATGGCCTAAACGTATATCCGAAAACTTCAGAGGCTAAGCAGAGGAGTCAGCCTCCCTTTCCTACAGCTAGCTCAGTGGAGTTTAGTGACTCCTCACCAAATGAAATCTGAGCCCTGCGCTCTAATTGGCTGGTGTTGTGAGTCACATGACCAGCTGGCCCAAACCTTTGAGAGTCTCTCCACTTGGGGCAAATGAGAGGAAGCTACATCAATTACCAATTCACGACTTTTCAGTGTTGATGTAAGGGGCCTTTGTTTGTCTTCATACATTTTAAAGAATCAACTTGATGTAGAAAATGAAACTTTTCTGGCATTTTTTTTTTTATGTTTTTATGATTTGATATTTTAGAATCTCCTTTGCAGCTTAATTGAGAAAATCAAGACCAAGTTAAACTGCATGTACATTTGTATGCACAGGCTTTTGTACTGAATAAAACGCAGTACAAATTTTCTCATATTATTATCACTTCAAAATGTGGCCTGGGTTTCATTATTACAGAGGATTTTGAAATCCTAACAAGTTATATTCATAAAATATATTTCATAAATTAATGAGATTTAGAAGCTACATGGCAGCCACTATAGTATATTAAAATATATAAACCACAAACCTTGACTACGGGTGCATTAGTTTACTCCAAAGTTACTTTTTGTCATTTTTCTCCCATTATAATTTCTCACTTGCTGTTGTCTTCTTCTACATATAAAAGATATTAAAACAATGGGCTTCTCTTCTCATGGGACCAAAACTCACTACACCATGAACCTCCCATGATTCCCTTCCTCATGGCTTGCACACAAGCAGACCACCAGAGTCAGCTTAATGAACACTGAGGGGTTGAAAGAAGAGATTGTTTTAGAGTGTGAAATAAGGAGCAGAAGGCACTAGAAGGAAGTACGTGCAATAAGGGAATTTAAATGACACTTCCAGTTAAGCATTAGCACACTTGAAGGGCATTTCAAATAGCTGGGTCATACAATAGCTTGATTAGGCTATTTATTGTTTTCATGCATGTGCTTGAGTGTCAAGTTGTCCATGTACTGCTTGAAATTTCAGATGGGTTTTCTTTAAGGTCTACTGCACAGTATGGCCTTACATTCGCTTCTAACATTCTGTTAGAATGCCCTCAGGCCTTACATTCTACCTTTGCAATAAATGCACCACTAATATCTGCTGATACTCACTAATCACTGAATAGCAACTGGAACAAATGACAACAGATGCTAACTAAATCAATCAACTCAGATGAACAGGTCTTTGTTCGTCTGACCTCTCTCACTGCCCAGCCCGTTACGTAACAGACATCTCAGGCAGGCATGATGGACAAGGGTTCGGGTAGGCAAACCCGACTGATCTCGGGTGTCATGGTAACCACATTGGCCAATGGCAGCAGGGAGATTGATATGCGGTTACTACAGTGTTCGGAGTGGTTAATGGGATGTTCTGGGAGGCTGCCAGAGTGTTGCTATGCTGATGCTATGGCTTCTGAGTGGTTGTTACTGTAGGTCATTACTATGCAGGGGAAGTTTCCAGGGTGTTGCTAAAAATACTGACAAAAACTTTAAAAAGGTACACAGAATATAAAATGGTAAAGATTTAATTGGCGAGTTGTCAATCCAATATATGACCTAGGATATGGGTTTACCCCAAAATTCAACAAATGTGACAATGTCAATGGCAAATCCACATTTTGGTGCTTGGATTACAGTTGTTTCTATGGATTACAGCAATCTATTTGCTTCGGTAGCTTTTGACAGTCTATAAAAAGATACCTCTGATTTCTTGTTGAATCTATTTGTACAGTCAATCGCACAACAGCTCTTTCCCATTAGAAGTGTTCTTTTGAGAAAACACCAGGATCGGTGGTCCAGTGTCCTTGGAAACCCTTTTTCTGGTTAGCATCATTACTGAGGAAGCGGATTGTGGCCTTGTCCCCATTGACAGTTAAAGATGGTGGGTTAGAGCCACAAAATGTTCCTAAATAAAGAGAAAATACAGTATGACAATGGGAAAATGCAGCTGAAACCAATGACATTTTTCATCATTAACTATGCTATGGAGCATAGTCAAACCTTTTGATGACCCAGCAGCATCAAAGATCTCCACGTAATCCACACACTGCCCCAGCAAATTAACAGCCTGCAGTTCAAAGTGAGTGAAGGTGATATGGATTCCAGTGGCTAAGGGAATGGAGATAGTCCAGGTGCACACCACTTAGCTCGGGTACTCATTGGGCCAGCTGGGTGATCGGAGCTCCCCCAGTTGACTAGTAAAATGCCCACCGCAACCAACAGCAGCTGGAGATGAAAAGACAAAAGTAGTCCAAAGTATGAAAAAGAGAAGATGTGATGTTATTTTGATTATATCCTTTTATACTGAGTGTTTTGAGTGGTTGCTATGTGGTTGCTACAGTGTTCTGAGTGGTTGTTATGGTGCGTTCAAGTCATGTCAGATAGATCGTATTTAGCGTCATTACGACTTGTCAACTCGTAAGTACGAACGTCCCAGGAGGACTTGAACGCAGCATTAGCTCATCGCTGGGCAATTGACCCTTCGCAGGGAGTTTGATTGACAGGTGATCAGATCAATCATAATGGCGAATCTGCCAGTTTTGTCTGACAAACAAACCAGACCGGGGAGTAGATTAACGTTGGAGGACTTGAACTTGAAAAATTGTGTATTGACGTCTTTCCGCGGTTGAAACAAGATACCTTCTGATGTTCATTCATATTTACTTTGTGCTATATAGTAAAGAGTAAGAGATGATCGTTTCACGTGCCGCTTCAACTGAGGCACTACAGCAATCCGTCACAACACATTAAAGAGCCATGAAACTGTATTTATGGTTTGAATTTCTTAAATGACAAAATTTGAAAGCTGAGACTGTTTCATACCTAAAGTAACCTGCTCCGTCTTGTCTGTCAGTGTGTTGTCAGTGTCGTCTTTGCTCTGCAACATATTTTTTACTATGTGAGAACATAGTATGTGGGAAGTTGTGGCCTAATGGTTAGAGTCTGACTCGTAACCCAAAGGTTGCGGGTTCGAGTCTCGTACCGGCAGGGATTGTAGGTGGGGGGAGTGAATGTACAGGGCCCTGTGAAATCCATTTAATCCATTCACAAAATCGGTTTTATTTTTTTCCAAATTCCGTTTTTTTTCCATTTTAATTTTTTTAGAAAGTTTTTTTCCATTAAAATTTTTCTAGGCTCGGTTTTAATGGTTAAAATGTTATTAATCTAAATTGATCTATTCATCTAAATCATCTAAATTGTAATATTAGAATATTAATAATCAAAAGTAAGGGGAAAAATACTAATTTATTATTATTTAATTTAGTTGTTTTTTTTTGCTAAAAAAATTCTGGTAAATATTTCTTTAAAAATAGTGTTTTATAAAATACTTTTATTAGTAGTAGTACTACTATCGTTACATTAAGTACTATTTCTGTCACGTTCTGGTAAATATTTCTTTAAAAATAGTGTTTTATAAAATACTTTTATTAGTAGTAGTACTACTATCGTTACATTAAGTACTATTTCTGTCACGATTTCTTCAAGTTAAACCAAACTTTTATTTTGACGGGTTGCTGTGAAGACCTTCTGTTTGTATATGATATGACAATTTTACTCAAAACAAATGGTAAAATGCTCATTAAGTGACTCTCAATTCCGTTTTTTTTCCAGTTTAATTTTTTTAGAAAGTTTTTTTCCATTAAAATTTTTCTAGGCTCGGTTTTAATGGTTAAAATGTTATTAATCTAAATTGATCTATTCATCTAAATCATCTAAATTGTAATATTAGAATATTAATAATCAAAAGCAAGGGGAAAAATACTAATTTATTATTATTTAATTTAGTTGTTTTTTTTTGCTAAAAAAATTCTGGTAAATATTTCTTTAAAAATAGTGTTTTATAAAATACTTTTATTAGTAGTAGTACTACTATCGTTACATTAAGTACTATTTCTGTCACGATTTCTTCAAGTTAAACCAAACTTTTATTTTGACGGGTTGCTGTGAAGACCTTCTGTTTGTATATGATATGACAATTTTACTCAAAACAAATGGTAAAATGCTCATTAAGTGACTCTCAGAGCAGTTCTAGAGATCATGTTCATGTGTTTCTGTACTCATATTGAGGCGGCAGAGGCTGAAAACAACATGAGCGTCACTCAAGCTTCAGTGTGTGTGTAATAAACAAAACTGTGCGTCTGCGCCATTCATTCACGCAGAGACACGCAGAACATGCAGGATTCATATTTAAATAGTGTTTTTGTGGCTTAATATTCACAGACACTAGTCCATATCACGTTTTGATTTCGGTGTACTGACCTACTTTTGATTTATTCATCCAAAATTTTGCAAATTACGTGGCATTCTGCGTTATACTGTGATTCCATCCGCATCGCGGAAATCATAAGGCCCTAGTTTTTTCACTCACCCTCTATGTCAGCAGGATCCGCTGCTTTCCAAATGGCACTGAACCCTGTGTCCACGATTTTGTCATTGGAGGAGAAACTGACAGTCAGTGTGTCTCCAGCCGTGACTAGATCTCTCGGAGGAGATGTGCAGTAGGTACCTGAGAAAAAGAGGCCGAGTACACAGTGTATTATATTTCATCCACATTCCCTAAACACCATGGCGGCCCACCTGAGAGCACACTAGTATATATGGACAAGCCACATGGGATATGTCTATGTACCCAGAGTGCCGACGCTATCGCTGAGAGTGACTGTCATTAAGGCACAGCGTGGTCTCCTCCAGGGAGAAGTTGCTAAAGTGAAGGTAGACGTTTTTCCCAGTGGGCACACGGATATTCCACTGGCAGGAAGCTCTGTTACTGTAACTCTCTGGATGATCCATTGATGCCAGCATGCCCTCCGTTCCAACCAGATCCTTCAGTCCACCACAACCAGAACCTTGAGAAAACGAGAATGTGTTTTAAACTCCACTCTAAAATCTTTAATTGATTCCAAATGAAAAAGCTTCTCCAGTCCAGCAATGCCGAGCGGACGTACTGGTGAAGTCATAGATGTCTTTGCGAATGATGTTTTCAATCCAAGGCAGGTA